AGGAGATTGAAAATTTTTTATTTATTGATATTTTTTTACTTTATTTTTTTACCACAAATTTTCTTATGGAATTATTTCAACCCTTAAGTGGGTTATTGAGGCCTCTGCAATTTTAAACTAACAATTATTTAATATATGTAAGTGCAATTATTTGGAAAAAGTAATCCTCTATAATTTTTTACATGTTTTGAAGGAATTTTGATTGGAATTTTGATTGGGAGGCCACTTAAGGGTTAAAACACGTATGTAAACTCACATACTTACTTAAAAAGTATCTCAGAAAATGCTTTAGTCACGACACATAACAATTTACCGACCGTTAGCGGTCGATAAATCGGCTATCGGTCGGTAAGCGTTGGCCGGTAAAACAGTTGATTGATAGGCTATCAGCCGGTAAGCGTTGGTCGGTAAAACAGTCGATCAATTAGCTATCCGTCGGTAAAGTGTTAATATTTTACTGTTTACTGTTCGAAAACAATTCTGGGGTGAAAGAATTTCGTGGTTGCGAGTCACGACCGCGACAAAAAACGACTTTGCATAATATTTGCGTTCTCGCCAATTCGTCAACGAAAACAGACCCCTGTTCGTCGCATTTAAATGTTTGTCAGTGTGTCACCCCCTTTCCTTTGTGTAAATTTTTTTGTTTTTTTTATTTTTCCTCCGTTCCAGGAAACGCGTTCGCTTCTGCACGGCAGTACGGATAAAAGTTAATTAACGAATTCGCGCGCGATGGCTTAATTAAAGAGAACGCGCGACGCGAGGAACGAGGGAGGAAGGGGGTGGAAAAAAATTCCACCCCCGGAAACGTTGAAACAGAAATTCCTCTAACGCGACACAAAAGACGCAAAATGTTCGTTGCAACGCCCCTCGAAACGTGTATTTCTTCCTTCCACTGTACCCTCTTTTTCACCCCCGTTTTTTTTCCCTCTTTTTGTTCGATCTCCCGTCACCGCCGCCTGTAAAAACAGAGGCTTTTGAAGTTTACCCAAAGAACGACTGCCCGGGAATACGGTTCAGCGAATATCCGTCGGACTCTCGACGTCAGCTGCGCGTTGGAAACTGCGTCCGCCGCGAATAAATTCGCCCTCCTTGTCATTCCACCCCCTGCGTCGACCAAGAATGATGTAACTTTTCAAACAACTTCGTCGCGACTGCCTTTCTACGAGTGAGATTCCCTATTTCATGGAACCTACATGGTCAACCCCATCCCCCCCACGTGAACGAGATACTTTTGCAGCGTGATTTCGCCCTAACAAGCTTAAAGAATCGCATTAGAACACGAATCATCGAACGATTCAGGTGGAGTCTGATGGGATCGAATTTATAACTCGCGTAATTTTTGTTATTTTTGGTTGAAAAAAATATTGTATACTCTATAAACATTGGTGAATGTATGCTATAAATTTCAATTCAAAGCAATCTCTGGTTATCTTTAAAAAAATTCTTAAAGAGACTCATGAATTGCACGTCTAGACTAAACCTAAACCACCCCTTTAGTTGGTCTTTCTTCGATAATTTGTAGCTCCCCGGATTTTCATTATTTTTACTCGAAAAAATCCTGTATACTCTATAAACCTTAATGAATATATGTCCTAAATTTCAATCCAAAAGAATCTATGGTTATTTTTTAAAAAATTAGAGAAGAGATCCATGAATTGCATGCCTAGACTGAACCATCCTCTTAGGAGGACTATCTTTGATGATTTATAGCTCCTACAATTTTCATTATTTTCACTTGAAAAAAATCCTGTATACTCTCCAAACCATAGTGAATATATGCCCCAAATAGCCCTCCAGAGGAATCTGCAGTTTTCTTCAAAAAAAAATCACAAAGTGGTCTAAAAGTTGCAAGCCTGGACCGAAGCACCCCCGAATTTCCTGGGGCGGAACAGTCTTCGTTGAAACGTTTCCCGGGGAATGGAGGGTGCAACGCAGCCCTCTTATCGCCCGTTTCGGTCCGTAAGAACAGGTCGAAGTTCGGGGAAAGACCGAGTGGCCGAAACACGAGCAGACGAACGACCGCCGATCCATTCGCATCAGCTGGGACTCCCCTGTCGAAGAGTGCATCAACGGAGTGCAAGCAGTCGTTGCGGCAAAGTAAACGTCGGCTCCCGGGGGGGGAACAAGGGATGGAAAGAGGGTGAAATCAAGGATAGAGGGGCGGGCGGAACGAAAGGGACGATTCGAAATTCCCGCGGGCGGTTCGATCGACGCTCCGAGGCGAACTTTTCAATTTCAGTCCGGGACTCCCACCCTGGCTAATGCACCTAATCAACACACGTACACGGTGTCCTAAAAAAATGGCCTACTTTAACACTTGCACCCTCTCAAATCAGTACGAGAATCTCTTTTGTACAAAAATTCTATTTAATTTTGGGGGTTGAAAATAATTATTTTTTTTTATATTATACGCTTGGTTAACAATTCTATGTTATAAAAATGCAATATTGTAATTGATAACAAATAGATTGAGCCTGTAATATAGAAGAAAATTTAATAAAGAGAATTTTTTTTTTTAATATTAGGGGTTGAGATATTTGATTTTTTTTTTAACGGGACACCCCGTGAAGCAGCAGATGTCTTCTTGTAAATCACACGGCTGGAATCCCCGTCGAGTTCGAGCGGGAGATTTCGCGCGGAAAGAATTACGCCGCGAGGCGGTCTGGGGGGTGGGGGGTAACGATTAATAGAAGAAAAAATTTCGGTTCGTTCGACGATCCCACTGGCGAGGGGGGTGCAACGACCGAGATCGATTCGGAATCTGATTACAGGGGAAACTGTTCGTCGCGGTTAAATTACTGTCTTGGGTATTGAGACCACGGTGGTGGAAAAGAGGAGACGTCGTACTATTTACATTTCCCCTCACTCGTCGATGTATCGATCGCTCGATAGACGGAACACGAGGCAAAAGTGGCCACGTCGATTATTAAAACCACCCCCAATGGGCAACAGGGGTTGTTTTTAATATTTTTAAAAATATTTACCACAGTTTTGGGTCTGAATTTTTTTAAAAGTTTCACTAGTCGAGCAAAAGCATTTGTATTTATAATTATTTATTTTTATTTATTTATATCAACCCTTAGCAATTTTTAATATCATTCGAAGGGGGTTGGTGCTCCCAGCGAAATTCTGGCCCACGAAAATTAATTTCCAAGCTACGTATCGTGGAATGAAAAATTATATCCGGTTCCCCCGGTTGTCGGGTGGCTTTTTGCACCCCCCCAAGGCTTCATATAGGTTCCCATGTAAATAGAGTGTTTGCATCCACCGTATCGCCGGGATATTTTTCTGGCTGTTCGCGTGGGGGTGTTGGTCGTTTCGACCGGTCGAATCGATTCTTCGTCCATCAGTCACCCGGGGCCGGTGTTTCGCAAAAAGCGATTCAAAATCGCCCAGGGACGACGCAGCGGAGCTCGAATTGTCGATAAGGTCGAAAAGCAGGATGTCAGGACGCGGCGTTTTGAGGGAGATTGATGAGGGCTCGCGGTTTCCGGCGTGTGTACAGAGTTAAATTGCTGCAATGGCGTAGGGGGGGGGGGTAGTTTTCGGTTCGCGGGGGGTAGGGGGGTTTGAGGTCTGCCCGCCTGCACACGCAGCTTTCCTGTCCCGCTGTCGTTAACACCGATTTATTTGTTGCTCAATGTTCCTCCGCGGTCTTTCCAGCTACGTCGTAAACGAAAGGGTAAATAACATTCGTTCCCCGCGATATCACTATCGTTTGTATCAATTTCATCTCCCCCCAGGTTTACAGTTTCCATCCGCGAACATTCTACTCTGTGCTTTTTATTTTCGTCCCCGGAATAATAACAGATTTTTTATTTTCATTAACGTAAGGTCAATGCAATAATTCAAAATGTTTTTCTATTTTTACAAAAGAAATTGAGATCATTTCGTAGGTTGGATACAGCTTGTTATTTCAGTACACATTAATTGCTAATTAAATGTAGTCCCTGATACGGCGAAACTTGATATTATTGTAATGTACTTGCGGTGTGATTGCGAGAATTCGGTAATGCATAACATATAATACAGGCGGAGGCTGTTACGGTTGCAATTTAAACGCGGTTTAAATCGTAACAATTATCGCCGAGAATTCTGGCTCATCGACGCGTTAATAATTACACGGTCCAAAAGGACAATACCACTCAACAATTATTGGAAATGAAATACAGATGGCACGTGTCTCGATTCCCTATAAAATTCTCTTTTGTGACGAAAGTAACGATTTTAGCCTTAGCTCGTCCCCTCGAACCAAACAAATTCGGTGCAAACACCGACGTGGATCGAACTCTCGGGGATATCTCGAAATTGCTCGCCTCCAGCCCCGGGTAAAATTGTTTCCCAGCACGGGAATCTCGTTAAAAAAGTTCGAGGAACGCGCTTGGCGGCGGAAAAGTTGGGTCCGAGCATGATCCGTCGAACGGATACGTGGATATCGGCGATCGTTCTTAAGTATTAATCCCCCCACGCTGATCCGTATTAGCATTAAGCGGGGGATCGTTATAGAACGTTATAATAAACCTCTGGTTCGCGGTGAACATCGACTAGTTCGCCAAAATTAATTTCGATCGCGTGGGCGTTGAGATATCAAACCCCCGGAAAAATATTTGCCTCCGATATCGGACGTGGACACAGGCACCACGCCGCTCTTGTCGAAAACTGGTCGAAACGAACGGCTCGAGAAAAGAAATTTATCTAACAACGTTATTTGTCGCGATTTTTTCTATAAAATGTGACACTTTACCGACTGGGAGCCTGATAATCTACTTATCGACACCGTTGCTTACCAACCGGCAACACTTTACCGACCGCTATCGGTTGAATCGGTACCTTATGTTACCGACACTGGTCGGTAAATTGTTACCGACTGACTATATGTTACCGCGACAGGTCGGTAAAGTGTTACCGATTGGCGAGCACCAGCGTCGATAAGTGGATCACCTGGCTACCGGTCGGTAAAGTGTTCAGAGAACAAAATGGAGAGAAACGAAAGTACTCACATCGAACGTCGAATCTCACTTCCGTGCTGGAGGACATGGTCGGGTTGGCGTAGGCGGGATGAATGGCGACGCACCTGATCGGCTGTCCATAGCGCGACCGTTCAGCCATAATCTCGCAGACGCTGTAGGTGGCCCAAGTGCGGGGATTATCCTTCTCCGTGGAGTTTACCTGAGGCCTCAGCGTCCTCACCTCGGTTTCGCCGACGTACCTGCGCGCATTTCCCCCGAATATTTGCATCCCCAATGGCCGTTCTGTAACAACTCTGCGCGGAGTGAAATCCCACGGACACCGACCCCTCTCGCCCGCGGTCTTCTTCTTCGACACCGCGTTCTGCGTCCCTTTTGCGCCCTCTCCGACGCTCTCTGGCTCTCTTTCCGACCTTCCGTCTCTCTAGCCCTCTAGTCATACAGTTCTAAAGAGGTGATTTCGTTGAAAGATAGCAACAAATAATGAAACATTCGGTATAAATTTAGTCTATCTTGGATTTCAAGATGTTCCATCAAAAATGGCAACTGTTTCGGTGCTTTTGGAGGCAGCCACGCGTTTGTAACTCTGGGGTCTGGCAACAATCAAATCGCTTACGCGTATCCACGCTCTCTGGCGATGTCAATTAGGCTAATTCTCGGTGGGTTGCGGCGCGAGAGAGACGGAGTCGGGTTGTCTGGAATCCGCAGACTGCCACGGCACGCGTCCCGTCGCTCAAACTTTCCGCCCAACGTCGAAGTTCCCCCCCGCCCGCCCGACCGATTCGAGGGCTGCTCGTGCTCGATTCGCCTATAAATTAATTAACGTTTCTCGCGTAGGTTATCGTCTCTACCTCATGCCGTTATCCCCCGTTTCGTTGCGTCGCGCGGGGCTTTCTGTTATTTCTACGTCTCCGGGGCGCAAGCAAACCCCTGTAGCTCCTTAACTTCGTCTAGATACCTAGCAGAAATGGATCATGATTATTCATGGGGCAGCCGGAGAGCCGGCGCTACCCAAGATCCACAAGGTGCATTACGTTGGGGCAGGATGTTCGCGCAGGGAAAACCAACCCCGACGTCTCGAACAAACGGTACGCTATGCATGTATTGGCGACGCTGATGGCGACGCTGATGGCGACGCTGGGCGCGGTTCCGGGCGTCCAATGTGCCAATTTTAGAATAATGCAACGACAGACACCGACCCTCTCGCCTCTGCATTGTCGTTGCTTGAATCGTGGAGCCAGAATCGAGTCTAGCAATTTTTAACATTATTTGTTCGTTTCTCGCCAATTGCAATGAAAAATTAAAAAAATATTCCCCCGATCTATGCTACCCATTCGATGGAACTATCAACTCCCAAAGTAATTTCGCGAGGACTCGACTGATTGTTCCTGCTCGAAAAAGAGATATTAAAAATAGCCTGACTCCTGCCCCGGAAATACCGGTCGAAAAAGGTCGATTCCGAGGTAGCTCGAAGTAATTACAGCGGTAATCGTTCGATTACTAAGCGGGCGAGGGGTGGCCACCCTCGCGCGAAAGACAGGGCTGGGATTAAGTTGTCCAAAGTCCGCGAAACGAAATCAACTCTGGAAGCGGGTTAATCGAATCAATCACGAAAGGGAGTTTCAAACGATCAGAGACAGAGAGCTGGAGAGAGAGAGAGAGAGAGAGCTGAAACGCGTTCAAACGATCCTTAAAAACCCTTCGAATCTGTCCTTCCTCGTGCAAAGTCCGCTAGGCTTTCAGGGGAATCACCCTTTTGGTCCCGATGGAATTAATCGACAGGCGTTTCGTTTCGTTTCAGGATGGTCACGGATTGTGCACGAGGAGGGGAGAAAGGTCCGCGAGAGGGGTCGTCGGGCGAACGGTAAGTAGTAGAGAGAATCTACGGTGCAACGATTACGAACCATTTAATTAGAGGCGAAGGATTCCCATACCGCGCTCTGCAAGTGAGCGTAGCGATCTCACCTGCTCGAGCTGTCACGTTGCTGCCCGGTAGGATTTGACGACCCGCGTACTCTATCTGCGGTCGCTGAGGGCTGACTGGAACCAGAAAATTAGCGCAGTGTTAATTTGTCCGATTTTGTGGCCGGATATCTGGGCGTTCGTTACGATTTTGGTCATTGTTTCGCCCCAAATCCCAATAAAATACAAAACAGAAACAGAGTATCTGAATTTTAATTGTAATTTTGTTATATTCAGATCTGAAGATGGTTCGATGCGAATCTTTACCGACAGGTAGCCTGTTAACCTACTTACCGACGCTAGTGCTCACCAACCGGTAACATAGGGTCAATCGATAACAATTTACCGACCGCTACCGATTGAATCGGTACCCTATGTTACCGACACTGGTCGGTAAAATGTTACCGGTAGACCCCACGTTACCTATGTTACCGATCGACACGCTACCAGTCGGTAAACCGTCACACTTTACAGTAGATTACACCACTTGACAACATTCTTGCCATATTGTCAACAAATGTTACCGTTTAAGAGTCATAATAAGAATCCGATTTTCCAAACAAAGAAACACGTTGCATAAACACACTCGCAAACGCCACATGTAATTAAAGCTCGACGTACGCCAAAATCCCTGGACAATTAAGGTTAATTCGCACTCGATTGGCCTTTTGTACCATCAGAAAACACAAAGAGCGAAACAATTTCGAGGCATAATGGGACACCGAGCCGGTCCTCTGTCGAAAAGTGCATCGAGAACGCGGAATAAAATATTTCCACGCGCTAGTCCGTTGCCGTGGGAATTAATTTGGAAATTTTTGCGGCACGCGCGTGGCTATTGTGCGCCAGCACGGAACCGTGTCCTTCCATTAGTCGTCCCACGCGCGTGTTGGTGACTGTAAACATCGACAGTGGCGCGATATTTGTTTCAACTAGCGCTAGATGGGAAATAATAACATAGACGGAGTACGGGTAATACACAAGCGTGTTTACGACCGACGCAAGTAGAAATAACGAATAACGGACGGGGTCCGCCGGTTAATCGAGTCTCATCGGATAGCTCGAAATCGATTTCCTCGAAAATTCGTTTATCCTACGAAAAATTGCGTTTCCCCGTCGATTTGCAAAAAGCACCGGCTGGAATTGTTCACAGAAAATCTCGATTTTTCGCGAGCAGAGGAAAAGTGGAGCTTCGAGACTCGATTGTTTTTATTTTAGCGTATCGTTTTCGCTAGTGCGCGGCCAGGGCGATGGGGCACTGGCCTGGTAGCGATGCCCCGGTCCCCTGGACGAGCACATTAATCTCCGAACAATGGGAATAATGGCGATGAAAAGCGACGGGGCTGCTTTGACGTGCACCTCTGCAATTTGCCTACCAAACTAAGAGAGTCCAGAATAGATTGTTTCCCCATTCAAACGCGTTATCTATATTATTCGTATGTTAATCGTCCCCGCTTTTCATCGAAACGTAAAAATTCTGATCGCGTCACCTCTGACGACCAGCCTCGCCGGTTCGGATGCCAACGCGTCCTGCGTCGTGAAGTCACTGGCCGTGACCTGGCACTGCCACAGACCGTCGTCGAACTCCAGGGTGGCCGATCTCACCCACAGGGAACAGTCTCCGATGTCCGGGGAACCCACCCACTCGTACTTCTTCAGGTGCATTCCAATAGGCTGAAATGAATCAAGAAAATTAGATAGAGACTCTCTTAAACCACCTTGGAGGACTTCGAGCATTCAAATGACATACTAACGTGGTGATACAAGGTGATGTTTATATTTGGATACACGATGTGTTATTGATAGGTAATGATGTTTCTGGTAACCCCCGTTGGCTTTAATTTGAAATATAGAGAGTTTAGTGAAAGGGGGTTTTTTGTTGTTGAATGCAAGTTTATGGACTCCAGAAAAATACCAAGACTCCACCTAACGAGGGGGTCCTCTTAGACCCTGAGGATCCATTTTACCACCGTCTCCATCATTCCAAAAATATTCCAAGACGTTGGAGGCCGAGACTCAAGGGAAAAGGAGCCACCAAACATGGCGGAGACTCCGGAAAAATGCAAAGCAGAGGGATGGCTGTAAATCGGGGGTGGGCCCAAGTTTAGTGAAAGGGGGTTTTTTGTTGTTGAATGCAAGTTTATGGACTCCAGAAAAATGCCAAGACTCCACCTAACGAGGGGGTCCTCTCAGACCCTGAGGATCCATTTTACCACCGTCTCCATCATCCCAAAAATATTCCAAGACGTTGGAGGCTGAGACTCCAGGGAAAAGGAGCCACCAAACATGACGGAGACTCCGGAAAAATGCAAAGCAGAGGGATGGCTGTAAATCGGGGGTGGGCCCAACAGATCCCAGCAGACAATGGCCGGGGCGTATGTCAGCGTTTTGCGCGATCGTTTAATCGACGAAGGAGACGGTCGATCGTTCCTCGTTGCCGGAATCCTCTCAACCTTTCCCACCCCCCTCGTCGACTCCAGGTTGCTCGCGTTTCCTACGAAATGAATCATCGGCCTGGTGCAGCTCTTCTTTCGGCGTAGATTAATTCGCTGGCAGGAAAGTGCCGGCCTTAGCAAGTTTCCCAGTCATAATGTGGCCCGTAATTCAAGGATCGATTCTCCACGGGTGCCCATATAATCTATTCTCTCGTTCCCCGCGACGCCATCCTCACCTCCGACATTTTAGAGGCCCGTTTTCGTCCCTCCTGGGTTATCGAGGTTATAATACTCCCTTGTACATTATCCTCGCGCGCAAAACTGGATCACGTTGCTCCAAGCTTCGACCCTTTACGGTTCAACCCCCACCCCCGGAAAAATCTCCTCGTTCGTCATTTAACGCTATTAGTCGGGTAACGAGTCCTCCGTAATCCCTGGCCAACTGCCGCCCGCCATGGAAATCCTCCTTGAGTTAGGTCGCTCTTTTCGTTACTTCTGATCATTGTTACTCCCCGTTCTTTGGCTTTTTCAATTAATTTTGCTTCCGGGGGTGGACAAAAATTTCACTCTGCGAATGGGGGAAATTTACAGAGAATAAATGCATGTTCTACATGAGAATATTCTTGACCAGAGAAATTTTATTGTACACAAAAATTTAACAGTGACTCTGGGAAATCCAGAAAAAATTTGTTGTTAATAATTTTTCAGACAAGCCAAAAAAAAAAAAAAATTAATATTGTTAAATAATTGTGAATCTATCCAATTTTTTTGAATTTTGCCAGTCTCTGAAACGTTCATATTCCATTTTCGATCCCCCTACTAGTTTCCATTATCGAGAGGGGAGTTGCACACTAGGTAAACAAGATTTTTCGCCGCCTACATTCGAGCACACAATATTAGTAATGAACGCGACACAGTTCCAGCGCGTGCAGTTTATCATTCAACGGAGGACACAATAATACAACGGGAGTCCTCGCGATGATTATTCGTGCAGAGCGCGGGCGAGGGGGGGTGAGGGGAGGCACGCGCCCTCAGGACAAGAAGAATAATGAGTTGCCAGCGCGTTGACGTCCGCCATCGCGAGACGAAGCGTACGCAACTATTGCACAAAGATATTAGCGTCTTCGCCCTTTCTGATTCGTCTTTTGATTTTTCAAAAAATTCAATTCCCTTAATTCAAGCTTTGCTGTAATCTTCTTTGAACTGTGGCCCATTTTGGATACCTCAAACACCCCCTGAATGCGTCGATTCTCACACCAAGTCTCTCAAATTGTTTGTAAAAAGAATACTCTGCTTTTGGACAATTTGGAAATTGCTTAATTTATTATAGAAATCATTTTTAAGGCCTCTGTTAAAATTTAAGAGTGATACAAATTTAATATCTAATCTTGAAAATTTGTTTATTTAATTATTTAATGAATATCCATACATGGATGACTTGGTATATGCTAAGAATTATCCATCAGTAGTCTGAAGATGTATAACACAAATAGAATTGTCAAATTTCCCCTCTAAATAGTAAAAATCGACACCTCAAATGCAACCTTTAACCCCTACACAACAAAGCTACTCACTAAAATGTAACTTTAACTAGTCAAAGAGAGTAACTTGGTGTATACCAAGTTCCAAAGAAGTATAACACTAGTAAAATTGTCCAACTGCCCCTCTAAATAGTAAAAATCAACCCCTCAAGTGCACCTTTCAACCCTAACACAATAAACGTACCCCTTATAATTGAATTGAATCAAAGAAAGTGCATACCAAGTCCTAAAAAAGCTATAATACAAATGCAACTTTCCAATCGTCTTCTAAACATCAAAACCCCTCAGTTGCAACTTTCAACCCCCTCAAATCCAACCCTCAAAATTTAACTCCACCAATCGCAACAAAACACACCCAAAAGATGTGTACCCAGGCGTTGAAATACAATTTAAAAATACACTTCGTTCCTCGGTTGACCCCCAGCTCGTCAGATACACGTTGCAGGGGTATGAGGCGGCCGGAAGTCTCGGGGCAACAACAACCCCTGAACAACTCCGGCTTGTAGCTAGCGCGAGCCCGCCCGGAAAGGGCAACGCGACAAGAAAAACAGTGTTGGTAGGGACTTAGTCTCCTTTGGTGGGTAGACGAGAAGAGGATCAGAGTGCAAGTCACCGTCGCGGGGGCGTCATTCATTTAAAGGATTAAAATCCAGGTCTAGCCCCCGGCTGGGAGCGTACGTTCACTTACTTAACGGTGGAGAACGGCCCTTATTCCCTTTACCTCTTTCCTGTCGGTTCCGCAGCCGGGCTGGCTCCGTCTTCGTTCCACGTTTCCACCTTTTCGTTCTGTGTTCTCCGTAGAGGGCCGCGACCAGCAATCAGCGTAATGCACCCGCAGACCCAGCCCCGCCACCCCCTCTCCACCCTCTGTCTTCCCTCTCTGTCCACACACAATCGCGCGAGCCTACCAACCCACGCGCCAACACACGGACAGACAGACTCTGGCCGGGGTTCTGCACGTACGGAGGAGCAAACGGCCAGGGTACACACCCCCCCTCCGGGCCAAAAGGCTCTGATAACACGAGCAATGCAGACGCAATCTCTTCGAGAGCAACGAAATAGATCGCGAATTTCAGGACGGATCGATCCTCGCGGAACCTCCCAGCAACCCTCCCTAACCCCCTCATCCCTTGTTCTCGGACTCTAGCCCCTTCCAGCTCGAGGGGGGTGGTGAGGGTGAGCTCCTTTGGCCGCGGTGAAAAAGTTGTTAACTTCGAGATTCATTGCAGACTCTTTCGACGAGCCGGTACGAGGGGGTTTTGCGGCGTAAAAGGCGCAGCAGAGGGTTCCTCCCCCCGCCACGGAGGGTGGAATAGGGAGGGAAGCCGGATAAGAGGGTGCGGAGCGAGGGGTGGGTTTCTGGTAATCCGACGAAGGCGATTCCCCGTACACCTATTTCGCTAAAGTGATTTCGTGCTTACCAAGGATTCGACGTTTCCTCGCGACTTCCTATCGAGAGGTGGGAGTGCATTCTAGCGAAGATACGATTTTTTCTAACGCGAGGACCGTTACGTACCGCCCCACGGGGAATCCCCTTTTAAAGCGTTGTAAGCCTCCCAAGATTCGAGTGAATTTTATCTGCTTTCGATCTATTCCTTGGATGAGGGAAGTCGAGTGGCAAATAAACGTGAAACACTATCTTTACATACTTCAAATAGAGATTCCATTGTCTGGAAGGGTTGAATAATTGCAAAAAAATATATTTTCGTGTCGAGAACAATGGCGTCGGTTGCGTGGGCGGTGAGTGAGGAACGAGAACGAAGAGGGTAGCGTGGAAAGACGCCCGATGGAACGGTTTGGCCCGTAAACAAGAGTAGCTCGGATCTCTGGAGAAAATTATCCTCCCCCTCCCGCCGGTCGTTATTTACATCTTTCATAAATATTCACTCGCGGGGAAACGGAGAAAGGAGGATCCTGGGCGAGTCGACGGTTCAACGGGAAGTAACGAGAGACCGCGAGGGGGCATAAATCTCGTGGCTTTTGGTGGCGATCTCGTTTCGAGATCACCCACTGCGAAAAGGGTTGCCAGCTACCCTCCCCCCCATGGACGATAATACGATACTACCACCTAAACGCGTTCGCAGCTCGCCTGGTGGTCCCTCAAGGGTCGTGTTTTCGAATAACTTGGCCAATTTTTATGGCTACTTCTTCCCTCGTTTAACCCCTCAACCCTCCATTTTTTTATGTATTTTCATATCTCGTTAGATTCTTTATTGGGTGATTCTCGTTGTAATAGTTACAATTTTGGGCTTGGAATTTGTTATAATTCAAGTTTAGAGAATTTTTATTCTGAATTATTTTTAAGAATCTAGGCTTCGAACTATATTGATTTGATTTTTAATTTTTGTGTAGAAGTGTAGAATTATTCAATTCCCTAGCAACATTTGTTCACTCGAGTCTTGTTTTCTCAACACTTTACCGACAGGTAACCTGTTAACCTACTTATCGACACTAGTACTTGCCAATCGGTAACATAGGCTCAATCGATAATACTTTACCGACCGCTATCGGTTAGATCGGTACCCTATGTTACCGACACTGGTCGGTAAAGTGTTACCGATTGACTATATGTTACCGACACTGGTCGGTAAAGTGTTACCGGTTGATCGTAGGTTTCCTATGTTACCGACTGACAGGCTACCAGTCGGTAAAGTGTTACACCTCACAGTACACTACACCATTCTACGAATCAAGTTAA